ATATATTTGTTGAAATAAAATGAAATTATTAAAATAATTAAAAATATTAAAATATCTATATTTATTAAAAAATTAAATACTCAAGTTAATTAAAAATAAAAAAATAATTATATTTAAATTTTCAATTATAATTTAAATAGTTTTTTAAAAATTAAACAAAAGAAATTAAAAAATCAGATTTGTTTTAAAAAAAAACGAGTAACCTCGATGAGAAATCGGTTTTTAAAAAATCGATTTCTCATCACTTAAGAAAACTGGAAAGGGACATCTACGCTAACAAATCAATTCACACGTAAACTATTTCTTACTGTAGATAATAATTTAGTACGTTTACGTAAATAATATGAAAGATAGATTATTTATGTAAATATAAATTAAAAATAATATATTATAAAAAAAAAGTCTTGATACTTTGTAACAATAAGAAACCAAAACAATAATTTCATATTTTGTAAGATGAAAATCAAATAAAGAAGTTTTATAAAAATTAAAAACAAAATTAGCTTATCTTATTGTCTAAATAATACTTCATCCTATTATTTATGTAATATTTTTAACACTTTTAATTTTTTATTCTTATCTTTAGGTGACATTAATTTTTTTATTATTATTGTTTTATAATAATATTTTTGTTGGATAAAATTTTCTATAATTTAAAAAAAAAAAATAGTGTACAAAACTATTAGTGACCTTATAATTTGATGCCTTACCTTACCTTAGCTTCTGGCCACGACGACCATGTCATCGTTAATGTCCATTTCCCACAACCTTAAACCCACCATCTTGGTTTCCCCTTCTCTGCACCACCCTTCCTCTTTTCCATTCCCATTATCTTTCAAACCACCCTTCTCTGCTTCCCATTCTCTAATCCTCACCCGAAGACTCTTCCTTCCTTCTGTTTCCGGCATCTGGGACGCCATCACCGGTGGCAATAACAATGCCCGTGAAGCCGTTCTCGCAATCCGACGCGGAATGTCTCTCTTTCGCCAGGTTTTTTCCCCAAACCCACTAAAAAAATTCGATTTTTATGCATGTGTAGAGACCAACTTATATTTTTCTTGGACTAGGACTAAAATTTAAAAAAGAGATATAACTATGATGATGAAATGAATATTTTAACCTTTGTTTATTGTTAAGGGTGATGTTTCGGGTTCTGTTGAGGAGTTCGACAAGGCAATTCAGCTGGACCCTCGTCAAAAGGCGTGTAGGTTTATACACTTTTGGAAAATGCTTCTATGAATTCACTTTGATATTTCGGTTGAGACATTCTCGTTGTTACCAGATCTTTGGCAAAGGGGCTTATCACTTTACTACCTTAACCGGTACTTACACTCCCCTAACTAACTTTGGGATACAATCCTTGTTGAAAGTTCTCTATGGATAAATTTATCCAAAAACACTTGTAGGAGAAAAAAATAAGAAGAAAAATTGAAAGAAACTTCTTCAGATAAAACTAGTTTATACATGAATTAATTTTTTTTTAAAAAAGCTAATAAGATACAGTTTCTATTAATTAGTTAATGCATAAGCTAATTTTAGCCTACTGAGAAACTTATTTTTTTTTTTTCTTACTTTTTTCTCCTAAAAGTGCTTATGTGGAAGTTTACCTAAATCAGTCCAAAGTCAAAGGAGTGTGGGCTAGCAAAATCCAAATTGGATCTGAAAGTATCTGAATTGGACCCCTTTTGCCGTAGATTTGATGAGGGAGCTGAGCAGTTTCGGTTAGATGTTGCGCAAAATCCAAATGACACTGAAGAGTCCATATGGTGCTTTCTGTGTGAAGCTCAATTGTATGGAGTGGATGAAGCAAGGAAGCGGTATCTTGAGGCAAGTCTATATTTCAATTACTAGGAAGTTGATATGAAAATGGAATGTGTGAATATTCAATTCAAATGATTATCCACTTTCTAAATGAATTTAGGTTGGCACAGACCCAAGGCCAGTCATGCGGGAAGCATATAACATGTTTAAAGATGGTGGGGATCCTGAAAAGGTGTGCTTCAATGCTCTCTTCAATTAATATGCGGCTATTTCTGTTAGATAGAACACAATGCTCAAGTCTTCCTCTAATAGCTTGAGCTAATTTTAGGAGAGTTGGTCCTTGACAATTTTTAAAGCATGCCATTGTTTTTTTCTTCCTGCACATTTACTTCATATAATCTGGTGATCCTTCTCAGATATTGAGTCCTTTCTGAGATACTTAAGTTAAGATTCTCTGAGCCATTGTATTTATGTGATCCAATTTTCACGTATTCTGATATATTTGTTAGGACAAATTGTACTAACATCTTCTAAGATTTAACACAGTTTACATAAGCCTTCTTCATTTTATCTAACAATATAACACTGTATATCCCTTTCATGTACCTAAATCTATCCTAATTATACTGTTATATAACGTGAGGGAGTTTGTGTAATGTTGAAAAAGGAGATGGATATCGATTTACTCTATTTCTTATGTTTACACAAATGCTAAATTTGAGATTATCTTCTTGAAGATTAATTAATATGTTATTATGCCATATGTCAAGGGGACATTGCTTGTTCCTCAGCCTATTATTAACTTTTAATAACTTAGTAAGTATCTTCAATTCATTTTTTTTTCATACAAAAAAAATAAATATATATTGAAAGTACAATGAAAACTCCACTTCTTTTTGGTGTGAGAATAAGAAAGTGAGGACTTTTTGAGGCTAGTATTTATCGTCAAGGACCTGTTATCCACATCAGCAGCACATCGACAGAGACTAAATTATATCAATTTAAAAACTAGGAAGATGACATTATTCAAATTAAAATAGAAAGTCAAAACTTTAACTTTTTAGAAGTGGAGGACCAAAAGTGCAAATAGGCTAACTTTGTGCCTTTTTAATGTGGGCTTTGTTTGGATTTCATAGTCCCTTCTTCTTTAAGATTTTAGTAAAAATGTGTTTGATTGACGGTTAGATTAAGGTGTCATATTTACAATTCTTCCTTCTCGTATATTTTATCACAAAATTGTAATTGTAAAACTTATAAGCTGGTTTACTATACTTATCTACCTTCATTTTCCTGCAATGGCTATACAATATTTTTATTTGACTTTGTTATTGGCACTCCAAGATGCCTCATGCCTTTGTGAATGCAATCTGACGCAAGCAATTGATTTATCTGTCTAGCTTGTAGCTGCATTCTCTGGTAGCAGAGAAGGTGAATATTTTTATGCTTCGTTATATGCTGGACTTTATTACGAATCTCAGGTATTCTTGCAACTTCCAAGATTTTTCCTTTTTACCTATACTAGTTATTCCAATCTTAAACATGTTAAGATATTATATGCATGACACCATAATTGATATCATTATCGCCAATGCAACTCTGGCTGTTGTCACACAGGCTCTGTTGAGTGGAATATTCATGGGGATGGTAATTTGACAAAGAAAAATAATTTTCTTCTTTCTTTCTTTTGACATAAGGAAAAATCAGAAATATGTTGTTGAAATAATTGTTCATTGCCTTGGTATTTCCAATTTATAAGGTTGTTACCATGTACCAACTTTGCTAGAATTCAGCCTAATTTTCATGAATGAATGTGTTTAATAAGGAGCTGATTTCCTTGGGCAATATTGGTTTGCTTAAAAGATTTGAAGGTACAAAAACCTTGGGTTGAATCCCTGCAATTGCTTTGTTTCTTTTTCTGGGCACGTAGTATGATGATTGATGATTCATTTCCAACCAAATATTGCCATGCACAAATGCAGACGCCCATTATAGGGACGAGAGAAGTGTTTTATCATTTTGCACAAATTGCTTTTTTGAATTGGCAAGCACAGTTGCAAGTTTGAAGAAAGTGGACCAAACTGGAATTTTGTGTATAAACATGCCATCTTTTACTGTGTCAGATCATTTATACTTTATATGGTTTTATTTAGTTTGAAGATGACTTACGAATTTGTGAATGCATGTTAATGATTTTTGCATGGGTAGAACCAAGCAGATGCTGCTAAAGTTCACATAGTTGCGGCATGCCAGTCTTCTTATGGACAAAGGTTTGGTTTTGAATATGTACACATATTAGCTAGACAAGAATGCAAATAGGAACATAAAAGTTGCACATTCTTTCTTTAATGCAGGTCTGATGATTATATGGCTTCTCTCTCCAAGGTTCACTGTCTCTGTCGAAATTGGGTCTTCAACTAAAATATTTTCCAGTGTTTCCATTGCGTATGATGAAGCTGATTCATAAGTTTCTGTATACACTACTCACAGCATCTTGTGAGTTATTATGTTACTGGAACAGATAAAAGATTTTATCATATTCCTTTATCTTTTCACTTGATTCTGTGGCCTACATGAATTGGCACACGTGCCTTGTTGAATATGAATTCAAATCATCTGTCATTTCTCTATGTTCTTTGTCCCTGAAAAAAAAATCACCAGTTTTTTTCTCCTAATTTAAATATCAGCTTTATTCTCCTAGTTATTTTATTATTAAGTATCATTTTTTAAATTGGAAAAGGTGAGGAAAGAAACATATAAACAAACTACTGATTTTAATCCATTGTTCACGATCAATACCTAAATACCTACAACTCCGTGTCTTGTAAGGGTTATAATCATTTTTTACTCTTTGGCTTAGATGGGACGCAATAGTGACTTCCACGCATTTACGTTTTGAATATGTGAAAACCACACGTATCAGTATTTTAATTTTATCTTAGGAATAGAGGAAATTGGAAACTTAAAGCGAAAGCAATGAGATCCACGCAGCGATTTGGGCCACGTGATGAGTCTTACAATTTATCGATGTTATTTGAAAGTTAAAACTAAAACAAATTTATCAATAAAATGGAAATCATTTGAATGTTTTAGGTTTTTTTTTTTAAACTAAGCTTTATTTTTTTGTCGTACATCGATTCGATCAAAAATAATAGAGAGGGCAAGATGTAAGGCATGCAACTTTTTTAATATTTATTTTTCTTTTTTAAAATAAAAATTAAGTGCCTTTGTCTTTTAAAGACTTTTTTAAAAATATGTTTGGCCCAACTTCAAAGAAGAAAAGCCAAAAAATAAATGGCAACATTGCCATTTGTGGCATGAAAATTTCTTATTGGATAACTGTGCATAAACTAATTTTTTTTCCAGAAGTATATGCATCAAGTATTCTGGCTGAACAAAACTTAATTTAGGTTCCGAGAGAGATTCTCACGTTACCCACGTTAATCCGTCCTTGGACAAATTACAAAAAAAAAAAAAAAAA